TAGTGGTCACAGTCAATCACTTTTTAAAGGAAAAGGGAGGAATATGATAAAGAAATGATACTTTGTATTGGCATGGATCCTCATTTGTTGATACTTTGTATTGGAATGGATCCTCATTTGTTGATACTTTGTATTGGAATGGATCTTCATTTGTTGGTATTAGTTAGGTTTTCTAGATATATATTCCTCAAACTCCTCAAAGACCAACAGAATATGTGGCATTTAAATGGTTTAGGGTTTTTCTTGACAGTGAGACACAAATGCTCCTGGCACACCAATTATGTCTGAGAGGAAGATGGGCATCAAAGAAACTCATTATAGAGTTTGTCTTTGACATGACAAGACTAGCCATTTGGGCAAGAGGCTACTCTTGCCTGAACTGTTTGACTGTTGCTTTATAAACTGAACATGCAGGACCCACAGGAAAGTAACTACTGAAACAAGATGGACAGTCCTAAAGGGTTCCTGCTTCATGAAAGAGTCTGCCAGACATTCTACAGGACACAGAAAAAAAAGTGACAGACAAACTGCCAAGGCAGGTGGACAGTTTAGAATTTCCTGCTTTGCTGAGAAGTCTGCTAGACACATTGTGGCCTGTAGGCTAAAAATGGATGCCCCAACATTACCAAGAAACTTTGGGTAACTGTCTAGGAAGCAAGAGGTTGAAATCTTATAGTTCTTACTTGATAACTGTTTTGTTATATATAAAGAGGGGGGAGATGTTGGGACCCAGCCCCCCACGGGGTCTCTAAGAGTTGTTTTCCAGCATAACCACAGGTACCTCCTGGTTTCCTGACCTCACCCCACTCGCATCAATATCCTGTTGTGAACCCTTCACCTGGGGTTTTGTAAGTTTGTATATAAGGCTGCTCCAAAATAAAGGTGAGAGACATTCTCTCAGAAAAGGACCAGGCATCTTGTCATTCATCCAAATCTCCAGGCTTTTGCCTGATACTCACACTTAGTTGGTGGCCAAGAGCAGCCACAGTCTTCGGGCCTATTACACACTGATCAACCATGTGTAGGGGAAGGGGTCCCAGAACCTCATATAAGTGACTCTGGGTTGACTAGCCCTTTTGCCTTGGAAAAGCTTAGGAAGTTTCACTAAACTGGGTGAGATGGAACCTGCTCTGCACACACAAATACCCTCCCCACCCCCAGAGGCCCAGCTGGAGTCAAATCAAGCTGGGTAACTTTCTGAGTGGACAAACCAAATGTGCCCCCATTTTCTAACCCAACAAACCCACCTGAGGCTTTTTCCACTACTTCACACTGGAGGTTCTGCATCAGCATCTGAGTGCAGAGGCCAGCATCCCCAGGGCTTTCTAGCCTGAAACCCCTGCTCAGTGCAGCACAGATATGATCAGGGAAGGCTACTAGATTAATATCTCTCCCGGGAATTTCCATGGGTGGGAGTGGGGACTCTCTCACTTTAACAGCAGGGATCACAAGTGCCTGGTGTGATGGCTGAAGAAATTCCACTTTGTGCTTGGCATCCAATTTGGTACCTAATAGCTGTTGGTATCTGACTCACGTTTCTGAAAGATAAGGTCTACCCAGCCCTGACTCCTTGACCCCCACCTCCCCATTTGCTTGCTGTCATATGACTTACTGCTGGTTTGGCTTCTGTAATGGGTTTGTGTAGACATTTAAGGACTATTTTGAAGTCACCTTGACTATCTAATCTAATCTTGGCAGAACAAGACAGCTCCCTTTAAAAGCCCTTCTTAAACTGTGCCCGATTCTGGACAGCACATCTCTGATTTGGGTTAGACACTGTAACCCTGCTAGCAGCCTTAAAATTTTTTGCTTGGCGGAGCAGTGGTGGTGCACGCCTTTAATCCCAGCCTTGGGAAGGCAGAGGCAGGAGGATCGATTTGAGTTCGAAGCCAGCCTGGTCCAGTCCGGTCTACAGAGCAAGTTTCACGACTGCCAGGATTTGTTACACAGAGAAACTCTGTCTTAAAACAACAACAACAATTTTTTTTTTGCTTAATTATAATTTGAATTAAGTCTGGAGGTCTTCTTCCGTGGTCTCGAACTCCTTAACAACTGGCAGTAGTTCAGTGACGACAGACAGCAGCTTCCTCCCTCCAGATGAGGACGCAGACAAAGTCTGCAAGACAGTGTAAGGTCAGCTGTAGCCTGTAGCAACGTGTGTGGTCCTGGTTGGGGCCAATTCCAATAACGCTGTGACATCCTCCGCAGCCCAATACCCGGGCTCTGACGCCTCTGCCTCGAGCGAGGAGACTAGGGTCTCTGCCCGGCTTTTCGGCTGGTTTGAAAACAGACTCTCCAGACGGATCTTTGTTGGACCATAAGGCGGAGACCCTCCGTGGGGAAGCTACGCTGCATCAAGGCGTTGAGCGCCCAGAGGCCACAGAGGCGTGGTCCTCCGGGGTCCAGAGCGTCCCGCAACCGGGTGGGCGGGGCCTCCTGGAGGCGGAGCACTTCCGGCCGACACGCGGGCGGTCTTCTCCCGCTTGCAAGGTGAGTGATCGCCCCTCCCAGTGGGTCCAACCCGGACCCTTCGGTTCCTCTGCCGGGTTGTCTGCTTTCTTCCCCTGCGGAGACTTCGGTCAGCCCTGACCCCGGGCCTTTGAGTGGTTTCAACCTGGGGATCCCCGCAGGGTGGCACCAAGGCGTCCGCCCCGCGCCTGCACCCAGCGCCTTCACCTTCCCCCGGCGGGGGCTGCTGCTCCTCACCCCATGTGCGTTCTCTGTCATCCTTTCTGCCCTTATCACTGTGAAAGAAAACCAGTCCCTCTCTATGGGCTCCTTTCGTTTATGGCAAACCAAGTTAAGGAAAAATCTTCTCCCCCTTTTTTAAAAATTTTCTCGAGTCATGTAGCTCAGGCTGGCCTCGAACTTGCTGTGTACCCAAGAATGCCCTCGAACTTCTTGTTTCTGTTGCCTTCACCTCCCAAGTGTTGGAATTAGAGGCATGCTCCTCCTCCACACCCGGTTTTTGTGGTGCTGGGGATTGATCATAAGGCTCTGGGCTTCAGGCGTGCTAAACAAGTATTCAACCAACCGAGCCTCATCGCCAGCCTGGAAAGTGCCTTTGACAAACATACTCACATATATACATTTGTGGATGGTTCTGTGGGAAACCTGGGCTTGGGGATTGCAGCCTCAGAATCTTTGGAATCTGAGGAAAAGTTTTCCCTCTGGAAATGCATCCCTTATTTTCATGAAGTCGCCCCTTTAAAAATTAGATTTAGAGTTCTCGTGCCTCACACTCACAGAGCCAGAGCCCTAGCTGTGGTGCAGGAGCGTTCTCTGGAAGCACACACATGCTCTTCTCTGCAGGCTATGTTGGGAAGAACATTTAGGATGCTCTATTGAGAAGAGCTGTGGGGCCACTCTGCCTTGCTGGTGGTGCTGCAGGACAGATGAGGGCTTTGCACTGAATAAGTATGCAGGCCCCTTGTACCATGGACCCTGCAACTCCCCAAGACTTCACCTGCCTTTTCTTGGCAACCTTCTCTTGCTAAGTAGAAAAGCTAAGCGTCACCTAGGGTTGCTCGGAAGCTGGCATGGTGCTCTTCAACAACATTCTCCATTCCCTTATCTACCTTGGTTTTCATTTTCCTTGGGTCTCAGGTGCACACTCCTTGAGATGGCAACCTTAGAGGACACTGAGGAGTCCACTCCTGGCTTGTCACCCAGCAGTCTCTCATCACCAGGGCCAGCTGGGGACCATCACCATGTGGCACAGCTGCACCTCCATGGGCACCCTCACGGTATTTGCTCCACACTACTATGTCCCTATGCCCCTCCTCTACCCCATGAATCTGGTCTGAGCTGTCTTGGCCAACTGAGGAAGGGAGGGGGCACTTGGGTAGCTCATTCAGCACTGGGGCCTCCGGAAAAAGCCCTGAGGCAGTTATGGAAGGCAGCCATGGTTGAGGCCATGCTCTTAATTCCCTGGGGAACAGCTCCCTGGATGTTTCTTGAAAATGTCCTCAGAATGGGCCCTGTTCTAGGAAGATGAGATCTCTGACACTTTGTCCCAATCCAGGAAGAGGCAGCAAGCACTGTTGCCTGGCTAATTTGGGTCTGCTTGCCTCATGACTTGCAGGGTTAGAGCTGCCAGCCTTGCTTCACTCCGATAGGTTTGGCCTCATCAGTCAACTGGCCAAAGTATAAGGGGTCCTGGCCCTGCCATCCCATTGAGCACACTTCAGATCTCAGCTGTCATGCAGTCCAGAGGGTTCATCCCTGAGGCCCATAGGAAGCAGGAAGCCTCACTGCTCTCATGAGGTAGTGCCAGTGAGGACAAGATCCCACATGGGGACCAGCTCTCCCTGCATGTCTAGAATTCTGGTGGCTGATGCAGAGAACCTGAGGTTTATGGAGGGCAGCTGTGCTCTGTGCCAGGCTCTCTCAGGAGATGCTAAAGTCCAGCTTATAGATGAACACTCACAGATAAGGACAGAGATCTCACTTCCCTAGGATCCACAGTGGTCAACCCAAGACCAGACAGGAGCCCCAAGCCCTATCCTGTTTGCTGCCTGGCTCCAGGACCCTTCTGCTTGCCCCTAGAACAAGTCTTGGACAGGGCCTTACAGCACTGTGCTGTTCCTGGTGGGCCTGTGAACAACAGGGACACAAAGGGGCAAAAGTGGTCTTGGGGCTAAGGTATGGTTGTTGGTGGAAGAGATTTTTATACCAAGTCATAGTGGAGCTTGGGAAGGCCCTGAGGGTCTGCAGGTAGGTGAGGGTGTGGCCATCACCCCTTTCACAGATATACAGGGAATAGGTGACATCTATTCCTGCTTCCTAGCTACCAGCAAGGGCAGGGCTTTCTCAGAGCCCAAGCTCAGTTCTGCTGCTGCTTCAGATGTGCTTGAAGGCCCACGGTTTCCATTTCTGTTGAAGTAGGGGATCTCATAGTATTGCCCAGGCTAGCCTTAAACTTGAGGCCTCCCTGCCTCAGTCTTCTGAGTCTCTGGTAATACCCCTCTAGGCGCATTCCAGATTCCTTACCACAGAAGACCCCAGTGTTCTGAAACCTATCGGCAGTTCTCCTGCCAGGACTTCTGGGAACCTTGGGCTCCCAAAGAGGTCCATCCAGGTCCCAGCAACCTGTAGAGTCACGTTTGCACAGTCATTTCAGGGTTCCTTTCCTTTAGGAGTAATGTGAGGTGAGAAGAACAGGGAAAGCATAAGGAAAGGATACCCAAGGGTCCCTATGTCAGGGTCCTATAGGAAAGGCTCCTAGCCACAGTCCACCCTGGCTAACCTCCGAGCAGGAGACCTGGTGAGGCTGTAGGGGATAAAGCAGTCCTTCTGGGACCTCTCTGATCTTTCTGGCACAGATCAGGAGCCATGGCTGTCTTATGGTGCTGAGAACTGAGAAGATGGGGCCTTGGGGCAGCTGTGGGGCTGAGTGCAGTGAGCACTGATAGGTGGGAAGAAAGGCAGACCAGAGTCAGCCAGGACATCAGCCAGCTTGGGATGAGCACAGGAGCTGTCTGGGCAGCTTGTCCCTGCCTAAGGAACTCAGGGGAAATGGAGTTCCCAACGCCAGGCCCTCAGCAGGGCTCCCTCAATGAGGAAGCAGGGCGTTGATACCACATTGGCCTGATCTTCTCTTTTGGGGCGTAAGGCGATGGTGGGTAGGTGAGGGGTATACTGTGTGTGAGGGTCTTGGCCCCAGAGCCTTGGAGTCCTACTCTAAGTTCAGGAAAGAGGGAAGGGTCAGGGACACTGCCCTCTGGAGGGTAGGGCATGAGCCTTGGTCCCCTACTTCCAGGCTCCCCCAGTTCCAGTCCTGAGATGCCTTCCCAGGCAGCAGACCTGGACCTCCAAGACACAGAGGAAGTGAAGGTCAGCAGAGACACCTGGCCTGGTGAGTGAGCAGCCCCTGTCCCATTCTAGGCAGCCTTGGGAGCCCCCAACTGGAGCTAACACTCAGCACTTCACTGGATCTGCTGAGAGCCAGGGCCATCCTTCCTGGGACTCTGCTTAAGCCTAGCTGCCAGTTCTGTCTACCCACGAGGCTAGGTGGGCATGGTGCTGAGGCCATGCCAGCCCCTGTGGAACTGTGGGTCGGTTAGCGAACGGTGACTCCTAGGATCATCCAGATCCCATCCCTTTGGCAGAGCAGGCCTCAGGCACCTTTGTCACCTGACATTAGTGGGCTACGATGAGTGTCTTCCCAGCCATCTCAGCCTAAAGGGATACTTTTGAGAGCTAAGTTCCAGGTCCTTGCTAGCCCTTAATAGCAACCTTCTCCCAGATAAGAGAGGCATCACAGGTCCAGTGAACCACCAGTGAGGCTCCTGGCCAGGCTCAGGGCCTCCATCTGGTGTGGGAGGGGGCAGCTGCTCCTGACACCATCTAAGTCTTCTGGCCCACTCCCCAACACACACACACACACACACACACACACACACACACACACACACACACACGAGGCTGGGAGCCATCTGCCATTTCTCCTTTCAGACTCTGAGTGGGAGCCCAAGAAGACTCCAACTTCTCTCAATTCCCACAGTCCTGAAGGTGGGCTGGCCTCAGATGGAAGGCCACCGAGGGGCCTCTTGAAGAGTCTTCCCAGCATCTCTAAGTGTGGAGACAGCTTTGGCCAAGAATGTACCTTGGAGCATCCAGCAGGCCTATCTCCAGGGACCATGCCCTGCTCTCAGAAGAGGGACACTTGGCACATGGGACTCTTGCCACAGGGAGCCCAAGGGACTGAGGACAGCGCCAAGAAGGCTGCTGAGCGGTACAGTAATTTGGGTCACAGCTGCCAACACACCGGCCAACAGGGCACCAAGCCACACCGCTGCGAAGCCTGTGGTAAGAGCTTCAAGTATAACTCTCTGCTACTGAAGCACCAGCGCATCCACACGGGGGAGAAGCCTTACGCCTGTCACGAGTGCGGCAAGCGCTTCGGCAGTTGGTGGGGCTCAATGCAGCACCAGCGCATCCACACGGGCGAGAAGCCCTATGAGTGCGGCCAGTGTGGCCAGGCCTTCAGCCACAGCTCACACTTCACACAGCACCTGCGCATCCACAATGGCGAGAAACCTTACAAGTGTGGCGAGTGCGGTCATGCCTTCAGCCAGAGCTCCAACCTGGTGCGCCACCAGCGGCTGCACACGGGGGAGAAGCCGTATGTCTGCAGCCAGTGCGGCAAGGCCTTCATCTGGAGCTCCGTGCTCATCGAACACCAGCGCATTCACACGGGTGAGAAGCCCTACAAGTGCGAAGATTGCGGCAAGGCCTTCCGAGGCAGATCACACTTCTTCCGCCACCTAAGGACTCACACGGGTGAGAAGCCCTTCGCCTGTGGCACCTGCGGCAAGGCCTTTGGCCAGAGCTCTCAGCTCATCCAGCACCAGCGGGTGCATTACCGCGAGGAGCGCACACCCCAATAAATTGTGTGGGTGAACCTGGCTACTCCCGGGTGGCATGCAGACGGTTTACAGGTTCATGGCAGGACATGGCCCATGTCCAAGTATGATGGTTAAAGAAACTGTTTCGTGCTAACCATCCATCTTGGTACCCACTAGCTATTTGTCTCTGACTCCAGTCCCTGGAGGATAAGTTCCCAATAACTCAGTGATCCCCCCACCCGGAAATGCACAGCCATGCCCATCTCCTTGTTAAGCTATGACTGTTGGCTTCTGTAACCTGCATATGCAGCCATTCAAGGACTATTTTGAGTTCTCCTTGGCTACATAATCTTGGCAGAGCAGAACAGCACGTGGCTTGTTTGTGCAGCTACTCAAGGACTTCTTAGGGGTTTTGCCTTTAAAAATCCTTCCCTCTTCCCTTCGCACAGCAGTCTCTAGTTTGGCTCAGAGATTGCTGTCTGCTAGCAGGTTTATTAAATGTAACTCGTTATAATCTGGACTCAGTCTGTGGTCTTTTCCTGGGTCAGGGGGGTCTTGAACTCCATAACATTTGGTGGCTCATCCAGGATCCCTGGGATACCCCAGACTCAGGGCTGGGGGTTTTAGGTAGGCCAAAGCCTGGAGAGCCAGGGACCAAGGCTGCCACAAACTAGAGTCTCTAGTTGGGACAGACCCTAGGTGGGGTAAGTACATTGTGGACTTGGAGGCCTAGGGGAAACTGAGACTGTGACCACTGAAAGTTTGTAAACAAAAAAAGTGAAAATTGCCAGCCAACACACATTGGAAACCCAGACCGATTAGTGAGTTGTTCTGTTCTGGAAGATCCGACGTCTGGGGAGACATAGGGGAGATCAGACATAATCATGGACCCAGTCTCCAGGGACAGAATGGGAGATGTCATCCTGTACCCCTGGTCCTGGTCCTGAATGAAGATGGCCACCACATGTCTGTTTCTCTAGTTTCCACTGACTGCTTGGAAGTCATGTCTTGTGATGTTGTTTGGTGGCTCTGTGTTTCCTGGTGTGCTATGAGTTTTGTTGCAGACATGGGAAACTGACCCTCGAAGATGTGTTCTCCCTCCACACAGGTTCTTCCTTCTGGAGCTCTTTCCCAGCTCCATTCAGGGGCTTGGCTCTGTCTCTTGCTCGGCTTCATTGCCCCTCCCCTTGGCTAACCACTTGCCTTTCTTCATGTCGCCCCAGGAACTGCCTGCTCTCTAAGTCCCTCAGGTTCACCAGGCACTTCTCTATGCCTTGTTTGCTATTCTTTTCCCCACGCCCTCCTGTCTTCCATCCTTTTCCCTTGGCTCTGTTTCTGAAGGGTCTTTGTTTTCCTGCTTGCTCTATCTCTAGCTGGCTCCTGTCTCTGAGCATGGAGTCCTGCCACCTCCTCTCTCGGCCATGCCCACCCCCCATGCACAGTGCAGCTCCTACAGGCACCATAAGCCCCTATCCTGCCACCTGCTGCCTGCTGTGCCAGTAGCCCACACCCAGAATGTCTTATCTCTGAGCTGTCTTTGTTCTCTGTTCGTACTGGTCACACTGGATTCAATTTTGCAGAGATTCAGGTGTCTTTGGGGTATGGATAATATTGAAGTATTGTTTCCTGCTGTTCTACTTTATTAAAAAACTGACTCTGGAGTTGGGTTATGGCCCTCCTCGACTGACCCAAGCATGCCCCTTTAAAGGTTTTCTCCAAAATCTCTGTCTTGGGACACACAGGTCTCCTGCCTGTGGCAGGGAAAGGAAAAACAAACATCCAGGAGAAGACACTTGGTGTTTAAAACAGCTAAAAAGTGACTATTCCAAGAGGGATTACTTCTGCTTGTCTCACTCTCCTTTTCTTGCTTTTACTTAACTCTCTCAGGCTTTTGCTAAAATATGGGTTTATAGAAGAACCAAATATAAGATTTATAAGACTGTTATATAAACTTTCTGTGCCTTAAGATTTGTAAGCTTATTCGATATGGTTAAAAATCTATAAAGAAAACAAAAGCAACCTGATGCCACCATTTTCTGTTTTTATAGTTTTCTATTTAAAGGCCTCTAGGTTACAGATACTTAAACTATTCTGCAACCTGATGACTTTATGAAAAGATACTTATGAAGCTTTTCAGGTTGTCTGCCTCCATCTGCAGACACACACACACTGGTTATAAAGTCAAATCAAACCTTCTGTCTAAAACCTCTCACTAGTAACTCCACAGATGCCTCCTTTTGGGGGAGTTTTCAAGACAGTTTCTCTGTGGCTTTGGAGGCTTTCCTGGAACTAGCTCTTGTAGACCAGGCTAGCTCAAAATCACAGAGATCCACCTGCCTCTGCCCCCCAACCCCAGTGCTGGGATTAAAGGCATGCACCACCCCCCCCCCCCCAGCTCAGAGCTGGACTAGTTAAAACTTAATATTAAAGGTGTGGTTGGTGGTGCAATCCTTTAATCCCAATACTGGGTCTGGTCTACAGAGGGAGTTCCAGGACAGCCAGGGCTACACAGAGAAACCCTGTCAAAAAAAAAAAAAAAAGTTAATATTTCTTCAAAAAGGAAAAAAGACCAGGTCATTGGACCCTCACCTGAGCATCCAATCACTACTCCCTCCTAATTGTTTGCAATTAGGTCCTAAATTGCATGAGGCCTCTAGGTTTGCTCGGAAAGCTATATATAGACTAAAAACTAAGATTAAGGATGGGGCCCACCTATGAAGCAATGGAAAAGCTGTTAAATATGTTGGGTATTGTCTAACACCCCCTTAGGAAAAATTCTTAAAATAAATGGTATTTATTTGTTATTGTTAGGTTTCATTTAAAATTTTTAATAAAAAAGATTATATAAGAATTGGGATGACTAAATGTAATTACAGATGTCTAGCTCTTACTTCTACCTTCTTCCCCTTTTCTACTTTTTTTTACCAAAAAAAAAAAAAAAAAAAAAAAAAAAAAAAGAACCTCCATTCAAGGTCATGGATGGATAGTCAGAGCTTTTGATAAGATATAAACGTTCTTTCTCTCATGGCCTGAAAAGACCTTTTCGGGGGTGGGTGGAGCATGTAAGATTCCAAGCAAAAAAATTACTCAATGATTAATATTTTTAAATTCCTAAGGTTATAAAAGGTCTACTCAGGTTAATCTATGCCTAGCCTCCTTGTCTTTGCTAACTTTGTTAAGCTTTTGGCTGTTTGGATAAATTGAGTCATACAAAAAAATGTGATATAAAAAGACAAAAAAGGAAAAGTAAGACTTCCAGTCTCTCTGTGGACTGTATTTATGGTTTAAAGTTTTATTTTGATTCTAAAGAATTTTCAATTAAATCTTCAATTCAAAATTTTAAGGCTAAAATTTAACAAGGATAAAACTATAAAATCTTGTAAAATACTGCTAACTTGTAAACTGTTGAATTAAGACATGAAAGTTACTGGTCAGTCACCTTATAAATGATCAAATTTTTCAATGTGCTCAAAACTCTACTTGTAGTCATGCTAACTGCAAATGTAATTCATTTACAGAGACAGTTTTTCAATCTTCTGTATATGTTTTCAAGGTTAAGCCTAAAGTAAGTAGCTAAAAAAAAAATCAGGTATACTGAATATACTAGATGATGACCTCAAGCTCCTCAGAGATCTGCTAAATATAGCATTTAAAATGTTTTATAAGTCAATTTCTGTGAATTCGAGGCCAAATTCTGTGAATTCGAGGTCTACAAAGTTACACAGAGAAACCCTGTCTTGAAAAACCAAAAAGAAAAAGAAAGTTTAAATAAACTGTGAGGGTCTAATAGATTAATGTAAGGGATGAAACGGTCTAAGGGTATGGAAGCTTAAATTTTGAGGTCTGAGGAAGTGATTTAAGGGATGCAAATGCAAATTGTAAAAGTCTAAAAATTAAAAGTTTCAGATTCCTTTCTTGTTTGCTATATGCCATTTTTATACTAAGATGTAACTTCAGAGATTCAGAGTTTTAAATTTCCCCTGATTGCCTTCTAAAAATGTTCATGCCTTTTAACCTAAAGCCATAGCCTTGAAAGATTTTAGTTTGCTGAGAGAAAAAGTTTTGAAAGATTTTAGTTCACAGAGAGAAAAAGTTTCCACAGGCCCTGGCCCATTTCAAGGAAGTTGGCCGAACCCCAGGCACATCCTATGGTTTACAAAGTTTTGAAAGATTTTAGTTCACAGAAAGAAAAAGTTTCCCACAGGCCCTGGCCTATTACAAGGAAATTGGCCGAACCCCAGGCACATCCTATGGTTTACATGGGGGCAATCGCCAAGACAACCCTCTTTGGGTCACACCTGGCTGGCCAAAAGACAATCAAGGGCTTTCCAGGGTACATTCTGTGGTTTTTTCCTTTGTAGAAAAGCAGGTTACACCTGGGTGACCACTCTAACATGAGATCATACTTTGTAATCAATCACTTTGTGCCCCTTGCCTGTATGCTGATCTGCGTTTTTTTCCTATATAAGGAGCCTGTAACCCTTGCTGGGGTGTGCAGCTTTCCCGATATTGCTGACACCCAAATGTGCATTCGTTCAATAAACCCTCTTGCTTTTGCAGCTCTTGGTCTGGTTTCTGAGTCTCGGGGGCTCCTCGGGATCCTGAGGCCTTTAGGGGTCTGGGGGTCTTTCAGCCTTTTACTATAACACCAAAATGTAAATCTGTTACAGCTTATTGGGGTGTAGAAACTTTTCACTCGGGAGTTCAGCAGTTTTAACATTAATCAGTAGAGTCTGATAAAGTATTAATCTAGCTCTGGTAAGCACTGACTACTGTCATCATAGTAACAAGCTCAATTTTTTAAATGTCCTTTGGTTGTTTTTTAAGTATAGACTCAGCGTTTCTCATTGTGCTGAAAACACCGAGGTCCAATCTACACACATCCAGCCTTCCGGACAGAGGATAGAGTGTTCAAGCCCAGTACTCAGGAGCCAGAGGCAGGCAGATCTAGACAGCAAGCTTCAAGACAGCTAGGGCTACACAGAGAAACCAAACCAAACCAAACCAGAGTTACTTAAGATGGGAGCTAGGATCTGATAGAATGGCTGATGCTTGGAATCTTCAGCTCAGGTTCCATTCCAATCCCTGCCCTCATGATGCCAAGCAGCAGGCTCCTCCCCTGGAGTTGCCTCAGTCTAGACTCTGCCCCTGAGAAAGCCCGCCTTTGGTGGCTCCACTCCTGGAGGGCAGTAAAAGCCCCCCATCCCCTCCTTGTGGTTTCCTTTTCCCTTGGGGCCACCCAGGAATGCTTTACTCAGATTAAACCTGGATTTATTAATTTGGCTTGATTGGTTTATTACATCAGTGGGCGGTTTCCAATAGCTGGGGATTCAAAACTTATCAGCTTACTTGAGGGTCACCCAATTTTACCTTGGTGTTTGTTTTCTCTGCCTTGCTGCTTCTTGCATTCTAATGCTCATTTGTAAATATCAGTGTCAAACACTGTACCAGAGAACCTAAATCTCAATTCCCCATCTCATGCTAACGGAGCCATTAGGGACTGTGATGGCTAAAGAAACTCCATTTTGTGCTTAAGCATCCATCTTGGTACCCACTAGCCATGTGTCTCTGACTCCAGTCCCTGGAGGATAAGTTCCCAATGATAAGGTCCCAACTCAGTGACCCCCACCTGGAAATGCACAGCCGTGACCATCTCTTTGTTATGCTATGGCTGTTGGCTTCTATAACCTGCATATGCAGCCATTTAAGGACTAATTTGAGTTCTCCCTGGCTACCTAATCTTGGTAGAGCAGAATTGCACCCTGCTTGTTTGTGTAGACACTCAAGGTCTTCTTAGGGCTTTCTCTTTAAAACCTTCCCTCGGCCCCTTGGCTCAGCAGTCTCTAGTTTGGCTCAGGGATTGCTGTCCTGCTAGCAGGTTCAATAAAATTAAACTAATTATAATCTGGATGGAGTCTGTGACCTTTTCCTGGGGTCTCAAACTCCATAACACAAGGTCCTGGCCTGAGAGTCCTTGGAGCTAGGCCCTGAAACTGAAGGGACCAGCTCTCCATTTCGGCAGCCATGACAGTAACATGTGTTCTATGACCTTGTCTTAGTCACTAGAGGTTAGGTGCCTGCCTCGTGACAAGGAACCAATCAGAAGTTAGCTGGTAGTGCTATGCTTTATGAATCTGGGTGTGCTTTACCGATAAGCGCACAGCAATGACGCAGAAAGCATAGCAACCCCCCTGGGAGGGCCTAGGAGCCATAACAACCAGTTGACCAATCAACACAGGGCAAGCCCTCCAAGCCTGGAGGCACAACAATCCTGAACCTGTGCATACCCCTAGACACTCCCCTTATGCTGATCTATAAAGATCTGTACGGATCGGCTTCGAACTGTCTTTATGGGTGAAAGACCCGAGGTAACATGGGATTAGCTCGTTAAACCACAATAAAGCCTCATGAAGTTTGCATCAAGCTTTCGACTCAGCCTGGTGATTGGGGTGGCCACGGTCCTGGGCTAAGATCCTGGAAGCCTGCGCTTTTCAAGGGTCTTACAAAACTAAGGAGTGGCCAAGTCTGCCTACAGCCAGAATACCATGGAAAGGAGCCCCTGGGGAGTGGAGTAGAAGAGAGACAGCTTGCCCAGAGGTACCCACCTTCTCCAAACTATGCTTGAAGGCCAGGTGGACTGCCTTCCATCCTGGTGTAGGAGCCTGTCATTGTGTTCCCTCACAAAACTGGTTCTGGTGCTTTCTGAACATGGCATGCTCTCCCCTGCTTAGCCCCTTATGCATTTGCCTTTCCATCCCGTGGCACCCCCAATGAAGAGGCTGCATATAAATTCGAGTCTAGATTTGCAACACTCCTCCAAACTTCAAAGTTCTAACCAGTCAAGCAGCCATGTATAATTCCCACATATAACTTTCCTTTATCTAGTTGACTGGACTGGCCCTGGCCACTGATACCCAGCGATGAAGCCCTCTGGCTAAGCAGAGGGGCCCTGGGTAGCTTACTGGTATAAATGCCCTTGACAGCAGGCCTAGCCTCCGACCATGGGAAGACTGCAGCCACTGAGGGACAGAGGGTGCTTCTGACAAGCAATGGGCAGCCTGGGAGTTGGGGATGGGGAGGTGTGGGGGCAAGGCACAGAGCAACTGTGGGACAGCCATGTTCTCTGTGTCCTGTAACTGTGGCTGCTATTGGCACATACCAGCCATTGTGAGAGCATCACGATGTGATGTGGCGGTCACTAACAACCACCCACTCTGGTCTGGAGTCCTGGGGGAGGGGGGCAGGACGTTGTGTCGTGAGTGTGGGTTCAAGTAGGCCCTGCAAAAGAAGGCTCAGGGACGCCTTTCCAGTTTCCCCAACCAAGTTTTGCATAGGCCTTTGTATTCTTACGAAACTCAGATAAGAGAAATAAAGGGCATCTGGATTAGGGTTGGGTGCTGACTCTCCAGAGCTAGGACAGGGGTGTGTTTGGGGGGGGCGGGGAGTAGGGCTAGTTGCTAATACTGTGGTGCTGGCCAGCAGGAATTCTGGAATTCTGCCAGACATGGGAAGCTGAGTCTTCGCTGGAATTCATAGAGTCGGGCACAGAACTCCAGGGAGGGCTCTGGGTCAAAGGAGCAGACAGTTGCTGGGGCACCCAGGGAAGGAGTGCTAAAAAGACAATGGCCCCGGAAGGCATAGAAACAAGAAGTACAAGAATAGAAGAATACAAGGTTGGGAAACTGAGGCAGAAAGACATTAACTGAAGTCTACAGATGGGTAGGGGTACAGTTCAGTGGTAAAGTGTGTGCTTGCCATGTTTGAGTCATGGATCACATCTCAAGCCTGGCTGGGGTAGGAACTGTGACAAAGTACAACTGAAACCTTGTGGAGCACTGGGGTATATGGTAATCGGTCCCAGGGGCCCCAGCCTTCGGGCACCCTCTCTCTTATGTGCTCCCTCCTCAAGCAGGAGCTTCAGCCTAGGGGCTGCAAGCACCTGGTGGGGGAGTCAGGACATGCTGAGGGTGTTTGCTTCCAAGGACAGGCTGTTGGGGCCTTTGTTTTAGGTCACAACTACAGACACCATCTCTCAAAACATTTTATTATAGAAAACTACAGTATTGTTTCACAGTGAGAAAGTGGCAGTGGCAAAGGGCTGTTTAGAATTCAAAGTCTTTGTCTGCCCGGTTGAAGGCCCAGGCGAACCTCTCTCTCTGGGTCTTGTGGTAGATTTTCTCTATTGGCACTCCGAACCTTTTACACCTGGAGGCAACAACATCAGTTGAGTCCTGCTTTGGAGGCCAAGGTGGGAGAATAGGGTGGTGGCCTCTATACATCAGGGTGACCAAGACACCTTATGCCATCCAGACTGCTGTCCTGGGCACCATGACCAATTGCATTCCCTCCCCAGGTATCAAGACATACCTGGTATGGGCCAGGCCCACTCTGCTCCCCATTCCCAGTGGGAAGGATAAGCACCCACATAATTTAGTGTCCCCAGAGCACTGCCAGTTCCAGTCACTCCAAAGCTCAGAAGGAAGAGGCCTACAGAGGACTCCGTATCAGGGACATCTAGTCAGGTGGTCCCTGTCACAGGAAGTTGTGCCTAGTACGGGGCCAGGTACAGGATGGGGCACCTATGGGACTGTACTGAGGCCTCCTAGGATCCCCAGTGTAAGGATTCAGGCATTATGCTGGCCTGCCCCTGTCACCTGGCAGAATGCACTCACGCAGTACCCTAGTTAGCCCAGGGTTCCATGACTGCGTAGTCTGCACATAGGTGCAAAGGACCCCTTTAAAAGAAAGACCCAGACCACTTTTGCTCTTTTCCAGCTCTCTTTCCCTCTCTCTTCCTGCGGTTCTCCTGGGGCAGACAGTACTTTTCCTGTCTCCCTCTTCTGTCCTCTGTCTCTGTGTCTCTTTATCTCTTTTCTTTTTCCTTCCCCCCTCCCTCCCCCTTCTAATAAAACCTCACCTAAGCTCTGTCTGCCTGGCGTGTTTGTCCCTCTGCCTTGGCCACCCTCGCCTGCCATGGAATCCGCCAAGGTTCCCCTCATGCATTATCATAATACCAGGTCACACCCAGGCACAACAGCCTCAGGCCTACACACCAGGCAATGCTGATCCTGGGGTCCAGATAATTGAGCTTAGCGGTGCCCAGGGCCACTTGCTTGTTCTCCTCCTTGTCTGTGGCCTTTTTGTGCAATCGGGCCAGCTGTTCCTCCAGCTTCAGCAGCCGCTGCTGCTTCCGCAGAAAACTGTTGGAAATGGAGATGCTGTGCTGCTGAGAGTAGACCACATGTCACTGCCCCGGCTTGATGCCCCTCCTGCAAATGGCCTCAGTTAGCCTTCTCCAGGCACAAAGTGAGAAGTTCAGAGGGGGTCAAAGGCCAAGGCAAGCCCTCACTACAGCCCAGGGAGGCTGCTGGCTCCACTGACGGAGGGAGCTGTGCGATCCCGACAAGCAAGCAGTCAAGGCATGAACAGATGCCCTTGTAACCAGAGAAGGTTTTCAGCCCTTATCCTCACCTTGCTTTTTTTTTATAGATCTATTTATTTATTATGTATACAGTGTTCTGCCTGCGTGTATGCCTGAAGGCCAGAAGAGGGCACCAAATCTCAATACAAATGGTTGAGAGACACCATGTGATTGCTGGGAATTGAACTTAGGACTTTTGGAAGAGCAGGCAGTGCTCTTAACTGCTGAGCCATCTCTCCAGCCCTACTCCTGCCTTATTAATGGGGCTGGAGAGTTACAGCCCCATTACAATTCAAAATTATCTGTAACTTTAGTCCCAGGGGATCTGATGCCCTCTTTGACCTCCATGGACACCAGGCACGTACATGGTGCATAGACATACAAGCAGGTAAAACTTTCATAGACATAATAAATAAATCTTTAAAATGATTCATTAAAAATATTTTTAAGCTGGGAAATGGTGGCACACGCCTTTAATCCCAGCATTCAGGTGGCCAAGACAGGCAGATCTCTGTGAGTTCAAGGCCAACCTGGTCTACACAGCAAGCACCAGAATAACCAAGGCTATACAGAGAAACCCTACTTCAAAAATAAATAAATAAACTTTAAAAGAGGTGTTGCTTTTACCCTTCTCCTTATGTGCCCATGGCAACCTGTGGGAAAATCATGACGCTATGTAGTACTCAGAGCTCAACCTTAGGAATCAGCTCTCCAAATACCAACGTGGGAGAATGGCCACATGTGGAAATGTGCTGCAAAAGGCTAGAACACTCTGCACTTACAGGAGCCTTGCCATAGCAGCCTGCTCAGTGACAGTCACACGCCAGCATCGACAAAGTCACTGTCAAGAGCACAAGCAGAAAGGCCAGGAGGTCAAGTGTGACCTGTGGGCCACTGTATGCAGGGAAGAAAACAGGAAGCCTTGTGCCCTGCAGAGCACTTCTGGTGACACATGGGACATTTCACAGCAGCTGTTCTGTGACAGCTGCATGCCTCGCTGAATGCCCTCTGGTCTAACTGACATCTGCTGCGTGCCACTGTAAAAAGACACAACTCTGCACCTCAGGAAGCTTGTCACAAGGAAGAAAGAAAAAACTTCAGCCCTTAAGAAACATGGTCATGTGATGAGGAATGCTCAAGGACATTACAGAAACACAAAGGACAGTGGGGATGCCACTGATAGCTGGACACAAAAGTCCTACCACTGGCTATAAGCCCAGAACAACAGAACCCACCGATTCAAGAAGACATAAGAAACCTGGACAGATATATGCCAAGCAGAGACCAGAGTGGTCGCTAAAAGTGTCTCCCAAAGCAAAGCCCCCTTAAGGGCTCAGCCAGAGCATTCCACCAAATAACCACCAGGTCTCAAATAGAAGAGGGAAGCATGATCCAACTCATTTTCTGAAGCCAGAATTACTCTGATTAAACCAGACAAAGGCATCCTTAGGGATACAGAACAAAAGCTCCAATAAAACAGAAGGCAGTTTCCACAGGAGAGAAAAGACACAGCACCCAGTCATGGGAACCCAGGGAGGGCTTTACACACGAAGACAAATTAGTGTCATTCATTGCATGAGTCTAAAAGGACCAAGTCCACAACCATCTCAGTGGAGACCATCTGACAAACCCCTGCGCCCATCACATGTGCATACACACAACCCTGCAAATTCCAGAGAAGCATCTATGAAACCCCACAGCATACACTAGGCACTGATGAATGAAAGCTTTGCCTCTCAGGTCAGACACCAGACAAGGGGACCCCACTGACTGTTAACCATGTTCTAGAGGGTCAAGAAAAGGAAACCTAAGGTCGCCTGCTAGTCTCGTTAGTCAGCAGGCTCCCTAGGCTCAACAGCATGAACATGGTTCACACTGAGCCTGGCTTTCCTTCTGAAGGCCTGGGTCTTGGCTTATGGCAGAGGACTGGAGCAAGTCTCAGAAGCTTTCCTGATGGATGGAATCTCACATATACAGCCCCTCACATGTCATCCCATTTGTGGTGCCAGTAACAAGGAGCCTGGGGCCTCTACCTTTTTTCCCTTGAAAAATTTTTCTCGGGGGCTGGAGAGATGGCTCAGAGGTTAAGAGCAATGGCTACTCTTCCAGAGGTCCTGAGTTCAATTCCCAGCAACCACATGGTGGCTCACAGCCATCTGTAATGAGATCTGGCGCCCTCTTCTGGCCTGCAGGCAACATGCAGGAGGAACAATGTAGACATGATAAATAAATAAATCTTAAAAAAAAATTTTTTTTTTTCTCTTGGCTGATTCTGTCTCCTTTGCTACAAGTTCAGCTCCAGGCACATGCTGCACTCTTGGGCACCAACTCAGATGTGGCCCTGAGAACATGACAACCGTGGACACAGCATCAAAGGTAAGATTCACTAGACTAGATTCACTGAAACACGGTGGAAGTGCTGTAGCAAGAGAGATGACTGAGTACAGTGGGTGCCGGTCCTCTGTACACCTGGAGCCTGGACTCAATGCATTAAACTACAGTAAGGGGACTAGAGAGGGAAGAGCGCTGAATGCTCTTCCAGAGAGAACCCACAAGGCAGCTAGCTCTCAACCATCTGTAACTTCAGAGGATTTGACGCCCCCTTCTGGCCTCCTTGGGCATTCTATGCGTAGATATACATGAAGGCAAAAACATCCATACACGTAAAAATAAATATATAATTTGTTTTTAAAAAACAATAGCAGGGTAAGATGTCAAGATCACCTGTGGAGGACTGGGTGTGGTGCTGTACACCATTAATTCCAACACTCAGGAGGAAGAGGCAGATGGTTCTCTGTGAGTTTAAGGCCAGCCTGGTCTAAAGAGTGGAATTCTAGGCAGCCAGAGCTATATAGTAAGATGGTATCTCAACCTCCCCCCAAAACAAACAAATACAAGGAGGGGTAAATGGCTTCTGCATCCAGGTGCATTGAGACTCTTACACTGCTTAACACTCATAATCTTCACAGTCTATGAGGACAGAGGGCTCAGCCTCCATAAAAAGAGAAGGATGGAGGTGTAAGAGGCCACAGCTGCTTCTGCAGCCCATGGGAGGGCTAGCTGAACCCCAGAGTTAAGGTCTGAAAGGTCTCCCAAGTGGCCTTGACCATGGTTTCACCTCCTGGAAGCTCTGGGAGGAGACAGACTGGCAGGTCAGGGTGGCAGGGCAGCAGAGGGAGAGATGCGGGGGATGACCCAGAGTTCTAAAATAGTAGAACTTTAGAACTCATTGGGTTGCTAGTGAGCTCAAAGGTTGGGGGTTCCAGGCTAATACACCTTTTCTGAGCAGGTCTGTTCTGACTCTACTGTTGAAGTCAAAGGCTCAGGACTGGACTCAGCTCCAGACCACCTCTCTGGAGTCATGAATTCCCAGGTCTTCCTGTTGGTTCTATCCTAACCTAACTCTGTCACTGCCTACCATGACAGCCCTACCAACTCTGGGCACTCCTCTTGGGTCCTAAGCTGAGAACCTAGGCTGCCTGCTGGTCAGGAGTGGCAGCCTGTGACCATTCCTAGCACATGGACCCTAAAACTGCTACCACTGCTACCACAGCACAAGGCACACCAGATGGGACTCAGCCCTTCAGGACTCTTTGCTGATGTCAGCGCCCTGCATGAGTGGTTTGCAGCCTTTGACAAAAGGCCTGATTACATCCTGCCTTCCCCTGGGGAGGCAGTGTGGCTGCCAGACACAGTTTGCTCCAAATGGAACTGGTCACTGCAGAAGTGATCAGGAATATGCCTGGGCAGGGCACACGAGCTCCCTTACACCTGGGAAATTTGGGAGTACACTTGACTTCACTCAGGACACAGCCTGCCTTTTAGTCACATCTGTGAAATTGTTCCTGTCCAGATGTGGCCTCCAGATGGGAAAGTGAGTTTCTGCAGGGCCATTCTTACTGAATG